AATGATGAAATCTCTAGCTTTAGTATGCATATCCTCAGCCACTCTTTGAAGATGTTTAATTGACTTGTCAGCTAGTAGACTTATTGAAATTTCTTTTGGCTCCCCCAAATGTAAGTTCCTGTAAATATACAAAGGCATTAAGTTAATACTTTCTCTGGAATCAATTAAAGCATTTAAATCATGAGAATTTCTTATAGACCAATGTGAGTTGAAATTTCTTGAATCTTTTAGTTTAATAGGGAACTTGTAATGTAAGATTGAGCTACACTCTTCAGATAATACTATTGTTTTCATGTTCTGGCGACTTCGTCTTCTTAGTCAACATTACTTTAAAAAACTTTGCATAATTTGGAATTTGTAGGATTGCATCAATGAAAGGAATGTTGATGTCAAATTTTCTAAGACATCCAAAAACTTTGCAAATTGCTTCTCTGCTTGTTTTTCTACAACCTTTGGGAAACGGGACTGAATGGATGTATGAATTGACAAGAAATGTTGCCTTAACATATGGTCTGTCTAATTTTTCTTGGCGTTTGACTTCTGTTTATTCTTCAGACTCAATCACATGTTTATTGCCCGTGATAGGTACCAGAATCTCTTTGATCCCTTTAATCTATAAACTAATTTCTGATTGCTAAACTTCACTTTTTTTTTTTTTTTGTAGTGATAGCCGAACATGTTCTTCTTTTGGCTATTTTCGAAGTCTTTGAGGAAATAGGATAGATGACACATAAGCTCATACATGGATAGCAAACTTGATTGATGGTGCATTGACCACCTCATCATCTATGGTTCTGATAGCTAACACATGTTCCTGTGAATTTTTTTTTCTAATTCGCTGGCTGGGTACCCTGTGTTCATAGAACAACGAAGCTACTATCTGCCTCACTTGATTTTTCAAATTTTTAATAGAGGCTTGCTAATTTTAAAAAGCAGTCTCAATCTTTGTGTTGTAATGAAACAGTAATTCCTCTAAAGATGACATCTTTTCTTGCTGCTATTGAAACCCTGGTAGGTTACCTTGAACCTGATTTCCTTGGCCGTAACTATTAGCTAATGAGAAGTTTGGAGTACATGTATTGGAGTTAGAATTGTTCTGTTGCCTTTGAAAATTTTATACATAACTAAACTCCTCAAATTGAATTGTATAAGTTGAAGGTAGGGGACAACTTGCATTAGTATGATTTGTCTCGCAGTCTTCATAGATCGATGTATATTGGTGCACCATGTATACTACTTGAGTGAGGTTGTCCATCTTCTTTGTCAATACATCCATCTAGGCTATTAAAGAAATTATTCCATCAATATTATACAATCCCACTGTTTTCTTTGGTGTCTTCCTTCGGATGGCCATATACTCTGATTTTTTGCTATTCTTTTCTATAGATCATGTGTGTTGTCTATAGGTAACTTCATCACCGATACACTTGCTGAAGCGTCGACTACGTTACAACATTCAGGATGCAAGCCCGAATGGAAGATATAGACCTGGTCATGTTTAGAAATGTCTATATTAGAACACTTTTCGTAATATTTTTTGAATATTTCTCATGCTTTTGAATAGCCCTCGAGATCCCTTCGCTTGAAAGTATATATTTCATTTCTGATATGATGAATTCGAGATGGTGGAAAGAGTTTTATTTTGAATGTCTACACTATGTCATTCTAAGAAATAATGCTCCTTTCAAGTAGAGAATGTAGCCATTTTCTTGCGCTATCCTTCAAGGTGTGAGAGAATAAACACATTCGAAATATATCAGTAGACATCGCTTCATGACTGATGACTTCACAAAGTAAGAAGAAAGCTTGAAAATATTCATGTGGATTCTCAATGATATTCCCAAAGAACCTGATATCATGACGATTTTAAAATAAGTTGATGTCATACGGTCGAAGATGGAAGTTAGCTAACCTGAAAACAGGATATATACTAGTTGGTTGTATTGGAACTCGAATGAAATTACATAATCCCTTACTAATGCTTCGCTATAGTTGGCGATTGTTTTTGGCGGAACTAGTTGTAACCAAAACTATTCTTGGTTTTTGTAATGTGCCATCTTTGTTTCCCTTTCCATTTCTAATCTCTATTCTCTTCTTACTTAGCCTAAAGGTCCTTTCAATTTCGGGATCCAATAGTAGGAGCTTGATTTCATCTCGATCTTGCATAAATTGCATTCAATTGCTTGGAAAGAAAATCAACACAAAAGAAAGAATGTAGGTACATAATTAATATCCAAAAAACAACTAAAAATTATTTCGAATTTAAAACAAATCAATAAATTCACTTTAAACAATTTATTCCTCGACAAAAGTGCCAAAAACTTGTTCATACGAAATCTGTACACGTACGAGATCGTGACAAGTAATAGATTTATTGAGTTAAGAGTATCATCCCTTGAGTAATAAACTTTAAATTGTGTTAATTTGTAATCAAATTCGAATTAATATGAACAAAAGACATGGTTTTATTTATTCTAATTTATTCTACTAATTATCCAAATGCCTTGGTCTGAAATAATGAATGTGGTGAATGTATTGAATTTAAGAATCTACCAATTGTTGTTCTTTTTCCAATTATCCACTTGTGTAGTTAGTTATATTTATGCATTCATGTCAATCGATAATTCAATTTTACTTAATTATCTCTTTTAAGGTAAATTAAACATATTCTAAGCACGACCCGATTATATTCATATTTCAAATACATAGGCAAAGTAACGTATTCAATTACATGATTATCTGGATGGATTACACATGCCGTAAATGTTATTCCGAACATCTATTACCCAGATGTTAATCTTACAAAATTCTAACTTATTGTGAATATTTCAGTATGATAACAAGTAACTAATTACATAATTAGTGGCCAATCAATCAAGTAATGAAACAAAGTGCGCAAGACTAATTAAGAAACTCATAAATATGCTAAAAATTCTAGTTTTTGAATGAAAAACAAGAAAACATAGGTTTCAACTTCATCCAATATAATAAAAAGTTTAGCATTTCAAGATTTCTATTAAATTATAAGAAGAATAATGAAAAGATGTCACCCGAAACATTTATGAAGAAAATTGTTATGGGTCAATAGGTGGAAGCGACACGTGGCACCGTATTTTAGAGGTGGGACCAGCCTAGTCAAATCAAAACATATTTTCCTAGCTTCAGATGTGGGCTCCGAGGCCCTCACTATCATTTCGAGGCCATTGCTGTTAACGATGAGCCACGGTTCGACAAACACACATCGTCCGAGGCTCCTTAGCAGCCATTGAAGACCCACATGCGAAGATTCGCTTATGATGGAGATCTTTGGCGAATGATTGACGTGACTTTTATGTAAAGTTTATTTATGTCCTGTCTTGTCAATGTAAGAGCATTTAATGTTTTGTAAAGTTAGGAGAGTCAACTTGAGTGCTAGGATTTGATGTCCTGGTCAAGGAGATGAGGTCACGTGTAGGCTGATCCAAAGGTCACCATTTGAGTTGTAACACTATAAATACCCCCACCATGTAATACAAAAGGGATGATGCAATTCAAAAGGAAAAACTAAATATTGGAAGCAACCTTTCTCTCGTTTCAACGGTGATCCCTACAACATATTTTTTACTACAAATCATATTTTGTCGATTGGTTTCTTATACAATCGTGTTACATCTTTCTTGCCGGTGGCCTGAACGGAAACGTCTCGTGCCTTTGAGCCACTCACACGCCCATTACTTGGAGCCATCAAGACCGTCTATCGGCATTAGCGTGTTGGATCAAACTTGTGTGTGCACGAGTGGGCCCGGCATCTGTTGACAACATTTTTTGGGGTCAACAAAAATAACTCTTGATCTTCAATCTCAAACTTTAAATTTTCAAGTTCTTGATGTAATTACTCCCAAAAGATGCGAAGGTGCCTCTTTTTCTTGATGAATTTTATGATATAATGTGCTATGAGATGCTAGAGAAAGATTCCTTGATGTTTTATGCCTTGTTCTTTATTTATAGGAGGCAAAATTAAATCAAGAAGCACAGCCATATTGAGTTCCAAAAGAGATTGTATCATAAAAAGAAAGTTGATCAATCCCATGCCCACGCATGGGCAAGTGAAATCAACTTCGAAAGTGGAAAAAAAGTCTCCTTGCTCATGCGATGGCATGCATATTGAGGATTTTTTTTTTTTGATTTCATTTATCTTCTATTCTTGTTCAATTGACACCATATGATTTTCAATTTTATTTTGTGGTCCTAATCAACTATTGAATATTTTCATTTTAATCCTCAAACTTTGAAAATCATCATTTCCATCGATTTTTTTTTTCAATTTCACTTCAATTCATTAAGTTTTACCTGACATATAATATATAAGAATAAAATATAATTCATCAAAAGAATTCCCGAATATTCTTAAGAGTATAAATTACACGAATTAGTCATCCATGCATTCATCTGGTTATTATTTGGTTAAATCCACCAATGGCAAACCACCTTTATACTTAGGACTCTATTGACCACCCAATTTGATTTTGTTTTATCATAATCGTCCAACTTCATATTTAATATCACGTGACCACCCAATTTGATTGTTTCAGCATAGCCATCAAATTTCATACTTAGTATCATGTGACCATCCAATTTGATTTTTTTAAATAAATTATCAAGTGGCTTAATTGAATTAAGTATGAAGTTGAATGGTGGTGAAACAAAATCAAATTGAATGACGAATATTACATTGAGTGATTACCATGAAATAAAATCAAAATAAGTGGGTTAAGACAAATGAATTTAACCCACTCATTATTTGTTTACCAAATAAAGCACTTGTGCGATTTCGGTGCTTCGAGCAGTAAAAAGAATTAAAAATTAGAGAGTAAAGAAATAAGGTCACCTTCAATTCAATCCAAGGAAAATTCAGTTGACAATTCAAGAAATTTGGAGAAAGAAAAGCATGGTTTCAAGTTTCTCAATTCAATCGATCAAAATTATCAGCATTCAAACAGTGAATTGAATTACACAGAACAATGAGTAAGGAGGATGCCGATAAACGGAACAAAGGTTATCAAGATAGACAAGAGGACAAGAGGCTATGGGGAATTCTAATTTTTGGATTAATTGGAGCTACCACCACTGTCTTCGCTGTATGCTTTTCACATTTTTACTAATTTATTTTTCGGTTTTGGTCATTGAGTTTTTGCATTATTTTTATGAAAATAGATATTTTATTCAATTTTTTGGTGGTCTTCTTTTCTGTGTGTGTGTGTGTGTGTATAAAGAATTTGAGTGAATGGTAATGCCATCAGCTTTATGGCTTTACTTCGTAGTATTTACTATTAACTGATAACGTTGGATTTTCCCTTTCTAATTTGCCTTTTTGTTTGTATGGGCATGTGCAAATTTCTTATTATCAATAAGAATGAATTGTTTAATTAATTATTATTATTATTTTTTTTGCTTGATCGCTTGGCATTGGAAAGACTACCAAGTAGCGTTTTTAGTTCTAGAAGAGTTGCATGATTGTTGCACTAATAGATATTTCCTCACATTTAAACTGACATGCACATGGATACCTACTGTTAAAATTTGGTTCTACATTTTGAGAGATTGAAAAGTTCACCTGAAATGTATTGCGAAGATACATACCCAATTTTTGTAGCTTTTGGGTGAATAGAGTAGTTTATGCCTGTTTTTTTGGTAATATTCTTTTTCTATTGTATCTAATGGATTTTCTATTTTGGAAAGGATATGTGGGTAGGGAACTAAAGTTTTGCAGTTTTGTGGAGTAAGCAACTAAGAACTGAAATCTAATTTCTTCGGATTCTTATTTTGTCTTTTATTATTTTATACTGGCAGTGTTACTTGAGTAATATTGTTTTCCTGTTTGTGTCTAATTAGGTCCTTTAGTTCCTGCAATTTTGAGAGATTCATCTTTTCACATAGATGATGGACTGGATTTGGACCATGAACCATATTTGAATTGTGTTAGGATCTAATTTTGCTTATTCACAATATTTAATTTATAAATTTCTACATTAGAATTTTTCTATATAAAATTCTTTCAGCATTGGGTCCAAATTCAAGTTTGGGTTTCCGCTAAGTGGACTACGCAAATTAGAAAAATTGATGGCCAATCTGGATAACAGTTTGTTTATTAGAGGAATGCTTTCTTCTCCATATATGTGCCTCTTCAATCGATAAATTTCGTTTTTTTTATATGATAAACTGATGCTGTTGAATAGTTGAAAGAGGTGCAAATGCAATAATTGATAGGAGAGTTGTGTTTATTGATGGAAGTATGGGAGAGAAAATCCTCATAGTATATAATAAAACTAGAAAACATCTGCTTTACTATCCCTCTGTATATAAGTTAAAATTATATCTTGAAATGTATTGAAAGCCTAGTGTATTCTTTTTGATGTGTACTAATCTCAAAATATCCTCATATTTTTGCTGCCACACCACTGATTATCTCCAAGGAATCAACTGCCCTGGAACTTTCTCAGCATTGTGGTTTTCATGATTTTGTACAAAATATTAAGTGGATGAAAGAGGGAAGGGCAACACTGCAGTTTCTTTTAGTGAAATTATTCAGGAGAACAGGATTTAAGATGGCTGATCTTCATAAGGTCATAAAACTACGTGGAGAAGTATAAAGTGCCCCCCAAAATACAAAAATAAGCTACCGAAAGTTTCCTAGTTAATGGGGAAAAAGCAATATTACTTGTTCCAACTTTAAACCTCGGTGAAGCAAAAGTAAGACTAAATTTGTTTTCATGCCCCTTCTGATTCCTGTATAGGTAAATGATTTGCTCTTGCTAGAATACTTTCACATCAAACACTACATTTGTAAAGTTTTAAAACTACGTAGAGAAATCTTAAATCTCAACAAATCCTAACCCTACTTAAATTAGTTAATAGGGAAGAAAAGAGATTATTGCTCGTTGCAGTGGAATGCACATCAAGATGCATCTTCCCTTAGAACTTATCATGTGGAATTCCATTCAAGTTCATTTCCTTTAGGAATAGGAGGAAGAAGGGGGAAGAGGGATTAAATTTGAGCTAGACAGAATTGAGGAAAATAAAGACATTTTGTACCATATTGGGCTTCTGAACCAAATTAATCAATAAGATAGCTAGTTACCGTAGCTCAAGCTTATTCATGTCACCTTAAAAAACAGTCCTTGTCTTTAAGTCCACTGATGTTTGGAAAAAAAATAACTACAAATTTCTATTCACTAAAATTTTGAGAATCGAAAATTCATGAGAGTCCAATTCTTATCAATGAAATAAACTCTTAAGAATAATTTCCGGATGAAATCTTTTATCTTGAGGATTTTACTTTAACTCCGTAGACTAGGTTGGCATTATCTGTCCATAAATGCTACTATATTTTTTCCTAACTTCCGAGACTTTACCTCAATGTTTCAGTGTTATTATGAACCTTCTAACTTGCTACTTCAACGATAATTTCGAAGTACATACTTTTGTACTGGTTCTATAGACATTAATACCTAAAAATAAATAAATTGAAAATTGTTCTAGATGCTGAAATGATATATGCGTATGTTCTCCTTGAGCAAGTGACACAAGCATGTAATTTGAAGGGCTATATTCAAATTGTTTTGTAAACCATGTGCCCTAAATATGCCAATTGAGTGCAGTGCGGAAAACTCAAAATGTCATTTGTACCAGTTTTACAAGGATTTCAACTGTTGTTAACTTTATTTCCACTTTAAGAGAACATTGCTGCCCGTCTCCTGGGGTCCTCTCTACGGAGAAGTGAGGCTAGTCATTGGTGATCATTTCTCGTTTGATACGCACCAAGGTGTTTCTAAAGAGCTATGTGAAAAGTGAGAATTAGCGGTTATAGTCATCCAGTTACCTTCTTGATGGAAAATAGGAAAAGATGACAACTAGTGGATTCAATACAGTCTTAGCGCACATTGTCCCTTTCATTCAGGCTTATTGCTGGTATTCTTCGTCTTTGTCTTTGTCTTTGTCTTTGTAAAGCAACGACACATGGAATCAAAGGGCGATCGAATATCAATCATTTCCAGCCCTAATGCAGGAATGCACAATTTTGATAAAGAACAATAAGATGAAGGATCGAAGGGGATCAAGGGAAGAATTGAGGGCAAGAAAAATAGTTTTATTCATATAATTTAGGCGTGTCCGTAAACATTGCCCAAAGCCCCTTTATACAAAGAAAGAACTTTGAAAATAATTAAACTTCCTATCTAAAAAAAATTGAAATAAAAGATAACATTATTATTATCAAACTCCTAACAAATAAAAATACCAAGATTAACTCAAATTCTACTAATTCTTAGTCTTTTCGCCTTGAATAGACTTTTAGTTATTTTCTTGTTACATTACGCCCTGAGTACTATTTTAGTAATTAAAGACTGATGCTCACTTGGCTGTCATTTCTTTGGGAACTACCACGAGAAAAGTTAGGAACAGGAACAAAGAAAATGATACACACTTAAATGGAGGAATTGGTTGTCGCCATAGTTTCAGCATTATGGCAAACTAGTGTCAAATATATAGCTGACTTAATGCTCTAGCCAAAATTACTATGTTCTCATACGCAGGAATACCCCTGTTAGCTGGTGTTTTAGCAAATTCTATTTGTTTTTAGCCTCTGTGGTTTGTGGGGCTTCTGGAGGGAATGCCAACATATCCATTAATTAGCGACTGAAAATACTTTTCATTTTCACCTGGTAAGTAAGTGAATTCTCAAATGGCATTTTAGTAAATATTAGGGATGGGCATCTGTATTTTGAATTACTATACTCTTGGTGATTAACAATATGTCAATAATAAAATCTGGAAAATTTCCTATTGAGCTCTAAGATTTTCCTGGCTGCATTGCGTCAGCATGTTCTATTCCCAGCTCTTCAGATTCCTTCCTCTTGCCTGGGAATGCTTCTGTCTTTCCTTGGTTGCTTTTCCTGGTTGTTATCATGATTCCTATTCCTCCATATTTTTTTAATTTTGGAGGATATTTCATTCCTTCTGTTCATTCATGTAATGTTCCAGCACTTCCATCATATTTATATCTTCAGCCATAAGAGACATGGCCTTTTTAATCCTTTTTTCCACTTCCTGATGAAGCTTATGAGAGATCTCACATGCTTGCTAGTCTCCTGAGCAAGCATGCGCATCATGGATGTAAAAGGGGAAAAGTAGAGAGATGGAAAAATAGCCAATTCTGTTCTCGCTGAAGCTGTGAACATGGTGAGGTTTAATAACAAATTATACCTTGATTCAGAGGAGTTGTTTCTCAAAAACCACACTAGAGAATGAGATGAACCTTTTAATCTTACAAATTGAGTTCAGGGGAGCACAATATTGCTTGTCACAGGACCTAAAAATTACAAAACAATATGTGCTATGATAAAGCAGCGAGAAGAAATTGTGATTGTGAGAATACCCCTCCAGGGGACGAACAGGATAATGGAAAGTAGAATCTTGTGGAAGAGAGTGAAAAATTTGAATTATTTTTTCTTGCATGCATACATTTCAAATATCCTAGATATAGACTTGGTTTGTTAGTCTATAATTGGCGAAAGTTTGTAACATTATTTGAAAGCTTTTCCCTACGTTATAACTGGGAGTATCTTTGTGGCAGGTTACCCAATTGTGGACAACAGTTGGTTGGATCTCCTCTCAGGTAACTGTTGGTTTCATAGTTTTCAATTTTTTGCCTTTCTTAGGGATTTTTTTCAGATGCAATAGTTCACTTCATTCAACATTTTTAATGATTAGTTGTAGCAACTTTCCTCCATTCCCTTCTCTGTCTTTGGCCGACTCCCAAAGAAAGTTATAAGAAAAAGTAGTTGCTTATATGATACATTGGCAAAATTTTGCTATAGGTACTATCTTTTAATTGCTTCAATTTTGCAGTCCTTAAATGTCATTTCTCTTTATTCATAACACATACTAAAATTGGAATGTTATGGTATTGCAAAAAGTTGAGAAGCTCTCAGTCGTCATGGAAATGTTCAACTGGCCGTTCTTCCAGAACGAAATTTCAGGAGGAGGCCTGGAGAAGATATAATCAACGTATGCAAGAAGAATATGAAGAAGAAATGGAAAGAGTGGTGAGATTCAATTTTTATTGTTCTTGTTCTTATTCTTTCTTTGTATGAAATTTGTAATTTATGCTCTTATTCTGATCAATATATCATTTCACATAGCAGATTGATGTTACTATTCCATAATCATAACAAAGCTGGCATTAGTAAATATTATGTCTATTCATTTACCATAAGTTATTATTCAGATGTTTAATTGAAAATATTTAAAGAGTATGTCTGTTTGTTTATATCTTAAGAAGTCAAACTCGAATAGAGTTTTGGTGTAGCTGAGAGTGCAGTTTACAGAAAATACTATTAGTTCAAGATTCTTTTTGACTTCAATGGGTGCTTGTTTGAAGACTATGGAGATGCTGTTTGTTTGAGAACTTCTAAATGAAAAGATGATTGTCAAAGTGCACAATAACTTTGCAAAATTCTTTCAAATGACTTGAAAGTTTCAACTAAAGTTTAAACATAAATGGAATTCAAGAGAATTCTGATTTAACAGTAGTACATGTGCACTTTTCCTTTTCACTTCTGACCAATGTTAAAAATCGTAAAGCGCGTCGAAGCGTGGTGGCCAAGCTTCAACCTAGGCATAAAAAGTGTTTCTTATTTTAATATTATTTTAAATTTTTAAATCAATCTAAAAATTATTTCATAATTAAAGAAAAGCGTTAAAAAGCATAAAAAGGCGCCTAGGTGCGAAAAAAATAAAATAAAAAATAAAGAAGTAAAAAATAATAAAAAGCTCAAAAAAGCGTGAGGCGAGGCATTTTGTGCCTGCTTCGTGTATAGGCGATGCCTAGGCACCGCTTTTTAAAACATTGCTTCTGACATTGCTCATGGATATTGCACCTATAGATTGCATTGGGAAAACCCTTAGAACCCGTTTGGTTTATATTTCAGTTTCCAGTGATTTTCAATTTTTGTTTTGAGAGTCTATCTTAAGAATAATAATAACATGTTTGATTTGTCATTTTGAAAAATTATTTTAGAAAATTAAAAAGCACGTTTGGTTTGAGATTTTAAAAATTTGTTTTATAATATTTTATTCTATGAAATTTGGTTATTTAATAGAAATGAATTTTTTTTATATCAAGTAATGTACATATTTTAATATTGGTGAATCTTATAATATTTTTTTTCTTGTTACAAAAGTAAAATAAAAATAAATGAGTTGAGTTCAAAACATAGAATGTAAAATAAAAATTAATGATGTGGATTGAGAGAATATTTTTATCAATTTCATTTAAATATTTTTCTAGAATTTTTATGTAAATGATTATAAAGAGCTTGAATTATTTTTATAATTTTTATTTTTCCAAAAAGTTTTATTATTTTAATTTTTAGAAAAACTTTACAATTTTATCTTTTAGAATTTTATTTTTAGTTTTCCAATTCTTTAAAATTTTATTGAAAAATTCCTTGAGTACGGGAAATTTTGACAGATTTTTGCCAGAAATTTGAAATGCTTCTATCCGTGTGCGTGTATTTTCCCTCCTCCAATCTTTCAATCCTTTCCCTTCATTTCAAATTTATGTATGTTTTCTATGAAAAATTCCTGTACTCATATCAGAGTTCAATTTTATTTGTCAGAATATTTTTATTTCTTAAAATTTTTAATTTTAAAAATTCTATGTAAATAAAATTTTATTTAAACGCTTGTTTTTCATGTTTTGAGTGTTTTCAAAATGTCAAAAATATGTTTTGAGTTTTACGTTATAAGTTTAACTTTGTTTTCAAAAATACATTTTCAGAAATATCATAGCAAACACTTTTTCATTCAGTGTTTTGCAAAATAAAAAATCTCAAATAACTTGAAAAAAGAAAACAAATTGCACTCTTACTTTTTTCACAAACCGAACAAAAATTTTGAGTTCAAAATAGTTTATTTTCTATTGAAGGATAAAAAGAGCTCTTTGCACTTCCAGATTTCACTGAGAAGCAAAAAAGTAGAATATTGTTTTCTCTTAATTGAAAATTCTATCATATTTTTTTTTTCTTGCAAATTCCGTATGATCTTTTATTATGTTTATACTGAAATCTGTTTAATCTTACTATCGTATTCATCGATCTTTATGCTTTTTGTAGGAGCGAATTAGGCGAATGCAAAGTGTATTTAACCGAGAAAGAAATAAATTCAGAAAAAGTTATGAGAGATGGACAGAAAATGATCCAAGTGCATATCATCAACATTTTCAGAGGGATGATTGGTACTGGAAAGCAGATACATCATACAGGGATAAGGATAGTAATTTTAGAGAGACTCTTCAGGCCAGTGCAAGAGCTTCATTATCGCACCATTACTCAGTCCTTGGCCTTGACAGGTATATTACAAGTTGCAGATGTAAACCAACACCTAATCTATCAAATAAAAAAAAAAAGAATGTGCAAAGAGTTCAGTTGAAAATTGTTCGTATTTCCATTGAAATGCCATTATTTATTGTCTGGTTAAGGAAATTTGAAATGGGGCAGGGATGCTGGATTGACCTCTGTATTGTATTTTCAAAAAGAGTGGCGATACTACAGGCTAATGACATTCCTTAGTCTCAAATAGGGGCAAGCTTGTACATTACTACATGAACGATACTTTGATTTTTCCCTTCAATCTTTTTCGGATCATAGAGGCATGCAATCAGAATGATAGAAATATAAAAGTATATTTGCAAAAGAAAGAAGATTTTTCAAATTTATTTTATTTAAAATTAGATTTGTGTAGATAAGATTATAATGATTTTGACATTTAATATGCTCCTCGTCCTCCTCCTCTCTTATTATCATTAATGTTTTTTCTCAATTTTTTTCTACTTCTTCCTTCCCTCTCTGTTTTTGTTCCGACCTGTGATGCTTGGACTCTTGTTTCTAGCCAACATACCCGTGTCGACATGAGTACGGGTATGAAATATGGGGCGGACAGGACAACCTAGGAATGGATTTTGGGCATAAAAATGAGAAAGGAGTGAGGAGAATGGTAGTATACATGAAATTTGGTCTCTGGTACGTGAGAAATGTTATGGGTTGCCGGCGATTCTGCTTGCGAAGTCTGGTTGGACAAATCAGTTGCTGTCGGCGATTTTGTTGGCGGTGTTCTTGGGCAATCTGTGTTTTTGGGCGGCAGACAATCTTTGCTCTTGCTTCCGGCGGTGCGCTATTGGCGATTGGCTTCTCTTTTTTTCCCCTTTCTTTTCTTCCCTCTTCCCTACTTTTCTCCTGTTTCTCGGGCTCTACTGTTTTCTTTCTAATCTTTCTATTTGGTAAAGTGAGAAATTGGTTGAATTGAATTGATTTTGTGGTCCACTAACCCTAATTTGCAAAGCAAGTCCTAAAACCTTCATATAATATAAGATCGAACACTTTACTTCCAATAATTGAAAACTAAATCACTAAATCTCTATTTTATTCATCTCTAACCCTTATTTTTAATTGTAAAATACCCAATAAAATCACTTATTCAATTTAATAATTTGCCACTTAATTATTATTAACTTTTACATGTGAATTTTTGGGGGAAAAAAAAAAAATTGAAGTTTGAAAGACGTACCCACGTATGAAAGTTGGACTTTTTTTTAACCATATCTCCGTATCCTACATTTTAGAAAATAAAAGATCCAATACTTAAATACGTACTCGATATCCGTACTCGAGTCTGAGCAATATAGGTTCTGACCTTTTTTTTTTCCATTATTCTGTCTCCTAAAAAACTTCTAAAGTTCAGTAATAGGAATACTATCATCATATTGACAATAGTAACATGAACCATGTACTTTTGTTAAACTACCTAATGACATTACCTTTTAAATTGAATGGTAAGGTGCTGCAAGTTCGTACACGAAAAAGTTTGTCTTGAAGGTTGTACGAGGTTAAGGAGAAGACATGAAGAATATAGGAGGAAAATTTCAGTACACTTGTAATATTACTAATAGTCTCTGCAGTTTGTAGCCTAGATCTCCTTTTATAGTTGTAAAGAACATAAATCTAAGGTTCTAATGCATATCAAAATATGTCTATCTAATCTGATCTAAATAAAGAATCTAAAATATTTTCTATTTTTTTCTAATATACACTTTTACACATCTCCATCATTTCCATGTTTATGCACTGATTGGGTAACAAAGTGGTAGGTATAGAATACCTCAAGGACAAGTAATCCGTCTAATAAATTGTGCCAGTTTCCAACTTTGAGATGGCTATCTTTTTAAAGGAATTAAATCATATACACGTTGTACTTCTTTTCAAACTCTCTCTCAAGTTGGTTTGAAGATATCTTCCATTGCCTATCAGTTTTTCAAATTGTTCCCTCTGCAGTCCTTTGGTAAAAACATCTACAACTTGTTCAACCGTTGATGTATAGATCAAACAAATTTGCTCGTTATCTATCATCTTTTTGATGATGTAAGCGTCCACTCGACATGTCTGATTCTATCATCAAGAATAGGATTATAGGCTATTGAGATAGTTGCTTTGTTATCACAATAGACCTTCATTGGCGCTAGAATTATTTCGTAATATCAAAACTAATTGATGTATTTTAATATCAAAACTGACCTTATCTAATCTAATTGGAACTAAACTCTATTTTAAATTTTTATCTAAAGTATAACTTTATCTTTATTGTATCTCCATCATTCGGATTTCCGTGTTTTCACTATCCCAAATACCAATGTGGGGACTATTAGGGATAGGAGGATCAAAGCTAAGTACTAGCAGAAAGGTATTGGGTAAAGGGATGACTTTGGCTGTTTCCCAAAACTGAGCTTCATTATTCTCTATCTCCCCCTGAAGACATTTTTTTAATCAAGACATGGTTTATTTCCCACAAACCACACATATACACTAATGCAAGTTTTTTAAGTTTTAGGATTGAAGCACGTATTACCCGTTCTTATGTGGTACATAACTAGTAAACACACTTTTCTGCCCTAGGATCCATTTTTTATCGATGCAGAAATCACACCATATTCAAGACTTGTCATCAGTTCTTCGCTGATAAGTCCTAATTCTTTTTTTTTTTTAAATAAAGGATGACGGTGCCTCCGAAATTTTATTATATGCCTTCACTTGTGGCAGAAGAATATCGTGATTACATGAAAATAATGAGAGTGGTAAATGAGGAAGTACTAGTTCCCTGTAAATGACGAAAATAAAATAGTAAATAAGGAAGTACTACTTCCTTTACAATAAGAACTAACGTAAAAAAAGGGGGACAAAAAGACAAAAAAAATAAGATTGAAAGTTAAAATAAAATTCAAACTTTGATGCTGGCAATCCATGTCTATCCACTTGTACTAGTGCCCTAATATGTCGTGGTAAGTCAAGTGGTCCATATACCTGATATTGTCGATGATCCCAACCCTCAGCAGTAAGAGCATCTGGAACCTGGTTTCCTTCTCTGTAAATGTGGGAGACTGTATCTCTGTCGAAGGATATGATGTCTGTGATACATCTAATTATGGTCTGAATAGCTCGTGGTCCTCTTCCTTTAGTGATACATTGAATAGCCACTGTAGAATCTGACTCAACCCAAATTGCTGAATAACCTAGTCCTTGAGCTACTAAAATCTCATCAAGAATAGCCCGAAACTCTACCTCTAATATCATGCATGGTCCATACGAAGTTGATAAAGCCCTGACACAATATCATGCGTGATCCTTGATGATGCCTCCCCCACTCGCATAACCATCCTTGAAGCATTCATTAGTATTGATCTTGACAAATTCGACTGATAGAGTGCGCCATCAAACCAGAATAGGGGGAGATGGGAAGGAGGGTCCATAAAAATACCAAATATGGGTGCAAGTGTCAAATCCCTTCCCTAATGCACCTCTTGAAACAGTCCTCTCATATGAAGAAAATAGATCATGCGATAGACCCTCCAAATGATACGTCTGGCTACCATGTGAGTCCCCTTATACTTCGCATCATTTTTCGCGGTCCATAGATTCCAAAATATCAGTAGATGAATGATAATGCGAGTGTGTCCGCACCAAACCTACAGTCCAGAANCTGCCATACCTGATTGGAGATGCTACTGCCAGTGAAAATATAACTGATAGTCTCTGTCTCGGAACAACACTGACAGCTAGAAGCCAACTAGCATCCATCTACCCATGAATAACCACATCTACTAGAATGAGGTCTTGCCATAGTCTCCAGCAAAAAAATGAGACAGTGAGGTTCAAAATGGAGCTCCATAGTAACCGGTACAAATCCTGATACTGGCATCCCAAACGTTCGAGCTGCCATGCTGATTTGGTAACGAAGCTACCATCCGATGTATTCCGCCAAAAAATTCGATCTGGGGCATCTGCACATAAAGGTATAGCCCCTATCTGCTTCGCTATAAGAGGGGGAAGAACCTGTAATAAACGTCCAATATCCCACCCATTATCATCATAGAAATCCTGCACCCTCGCAGATGTGTGCAGTCCGTGTGGGAATAGGGATGCCAATGTGGTCTCACCTATCCGGCAATCATGCCAAAAGAAAATCTGACGTGCTCCAATGTGGTCCTAATTACGTTTACATGAGAAGCAATTAGGACAGAGTTTTTTTAGCTTCCCTACCCCTTCTTTCCATGAATAACACCATGGTGAGTCTCCTGCCTCTGAATTTCAAAAAATACCTCTCCAAGGGAGGGTAGAGGACCACGATCAATGGCCTTTCCTCTTACCTCATCAAGTTCCTTATTCAGGTGAACGAGAAACTTGAAGATACAATCATTTTCAACCATCTTTTTGTGGTCATTGCGGTTATCTGGAATTTTCACTGATAGTCGTTAAAGAGATCCAAGTCCCGCGAGTCTCTTCAAGATATTGAAGTATTTGATGATGTTGTCCCCTCCTTGTCGAATTCCACCGAGTACATCTGGTTAATAGAGATCCTTAGCGGTTGAGTAGCACATGTAGTTCGAGGCGATTTTTGCCTCTAATGAGTAAAAGTGGCATAATTAACATCCTTCTCACTAGATACCCTATAACATGGTAGAAGAGGAGGAGATGCGTCGGGTCCAAGGGCGCTGGACGCCATAGAACAAAAGTTCCAAAATGTCTGGGAACTGGATCGTCTTTGCTCCAAGGAATGATCCGTGAGTCCACGAGAGCCCTTTATGTGGCCAGTCAAATACCCATTTTTTCGTGTGCCTCGAATATACATACGAACTGACTGAGACCAGCGTAGAAAGTTGTATCCGTGAAGGAGTATGGTGGTCATCTAAACAAAATGGGAATGAGGATTGGAGCTACAGTTTTCGGAGGGCTTGGAGGGGATTTCAGACATTGTGGAAGTTAAGGTTTCCAAGAAGAAAGAAAATTGAATTGGGACTAGGGTTTTTTCAAGGACTAAATCCAGGTCAGAATGTAGCTCTAATACCATCTAAGAAAATAAGAGAGGAAATTGCTGTGAAATTATATTTCCTCGCATTGGACATCAAGAAAACCTATAGGCTGTACAAAACACTAAATTAGGTAACAAAATAACTGTACATCTAACATTCCTAATTTGTAAAGTTGACTAGGACTATATTAAATATCAATTACAGCTAACTAATCCCTAGAAATGAGCCATCAGTTATAGTAGAATACTCTCATTTGTAACACAAGCTATTATGTTTTTCATGTTGAAAAATTTCTTTTGAAAGGAATTATTTGTCTACATGGGTTGTCTTCTATTTTTGTTCTAGAGATGTCAAGTTTGTCGGTTACTTTTGAAAAACTCCATCGAAAATGTTTGGAGTTACCCTCGAGTATTCCTACATTTCACTCCCAAATTCATGGTCTGACAGGCTGTCAACTGTAGTTTAGATAATAGCTTAGTGGGGGAAATGGGGTACTGGGATCTTGTGTTTACCTATACCTAAGTTTTTTTACAACATTAGTAAATAGATCCATAGGGCAAAAGACATTTGAAGATTGTCAATGTTTTTTCTCACAGATCAATTCGTACTTTTGCTCACCGATTCCTGCGCTGTTGCTACAACACAAGCTTTTGCAAATCATATTTGTGATTTGCATACTGACCTAAAAAGGAAAAAATAATTAGTAAAAACTACAAGCTAGTTAGTGTCAAAAGAAAGGTTTCTATTGTTCTCTTTGAAAGGAAAAGCTAAAAGTTTGTAAAAACTATTCTGTTTGATATCATGCACCAACGTTCTTGAATTTCAATTATGCTAATTTGCACATGTTCATAATTTTACGTCTTTCGAAAGATGATTATCTCCTCATCTATTTACAGTAGAGTTTAAGATTATTAGTAACTAATCCAATTATTTCAACCGCTGTTTGTAAAATGTTATGTCATCTAATCAAATTGACAAGAGAGAATGACGAAGAACTTGTGTTAATTTTAAAAAGTTCAGAACGGCAGCCTAAAAGTTGATCCGAATTCAGAAAGTTGATGTTGCTTACGAGAATACCTTTCGGTAAAAGCATACCACATAATTTTCAGTAAGAAGCATAAAATCTGATGTGACTCGAGAAGTAGAAAGAAGTTATATGAAAATATAATGTTGTACTTCAATGCTTATTTGTTCTTATCAACTGACAAGCTAATGCTGTAGGACGATATCCTATTGTTAATGCATTCTGTTTTCTGGATGAAATCAAAATGGACTTTCATGCAGAGCTATGGATTATAGAAATGATTTTTGTTTGGAACATGCAATCTATTAAGAAAGTGGAAGCATATTGATTGCACAATGCAAAAAATGAAATTTCTCTCTCACATTTCTTTTACCATAACTTTGAGAAGTTTCTACTACCATCAATATAAATAAGTTGATATCATAATTTGGTTTATTATTTGGCTAGACTGTAACGTTGTTTTATAGCAATCATTTAACTAATTCTTGTATCCATATGAAGAGCTATAGTTCTATGTAGAAGTTGAGCACTTCTTTTTCTGCAACAGGTTGAGGACAAAATTGTACACTGATGACGAGATAAAGGTATTAGCCTATGTTTCTAATAATTTCTTATGGATCATTTTTATGGTTGTAAATGAAATGATGCATTATGTGCGATCTACCAGATTTTTTCAATTATGCCATGGTTTTTGTTTTTGTCTACAGCCTATTTTGGACACGGACCTTTAAAAAATGAAAGAACAAAAGAGTTTAGAAAGTTATAAATCTGAAGAGAAACTTCTAATTTTTTCTTTATTTAGTTGACTAGGACAATTGATGTGAAGAGATGGTAAAAATATGAAAGGGAGAAAGGAATAGAAACATGGAAAAAAAAAAAAGAAGGGGTTTTTCACTTTTCTCATTCTTCTTATTTTGCTGGCCTTGAGAAACTAGATAAAAGTAAAAATTTGGGATCTATGGGGACAGCAATGGATTAAAATTCCAATGAGCTTTAGTTGGTTGGCAAAAGAGTGAAGGGAATATGCGACTCCATTTCTCCTTGACGACCTTGTTAGTTGGATTAGGCTACCTCCAGTGTACTACAGCCTGTGTCATAAAACAGTTTCCAAGATTATGCTATTTAGTTCTTTCTATATTGCGATGCAATTAATAGGAAAATGTAGCAAATCTCATTTTCTGAAAGGTGTAGATGATGGAAAATATTTTGAGTATCATGATCTGTTCATCTACAGTACATTTGGTTCCATATCCCCAGCAGTACGATATAATTAATACAACATTTATGATGCCTATGAGGCTCCTAATCTTCTAGTTATCTCCGAATAAGTCAAATTATTGGAACGTTTAAATATATCTCCATTGTGTGTTGCCCATTATGTGTATAACACGCTTGTTTGTTCTTATCTTAAATATTGATGCTGTAGTTAGAAATTTGTTTGTACAACTATTTACGTTTAGAGTTGCTTATGTCATTGAAGTACTGTTAAAGAAATGAAGAGAAGTCAAGTCCTAGTCAAATCCAATTTGAGTTTCATGGTCAATGCTGCATTCTTTTGAGTCAGTATTCGAGTCTGACTTTGCTGCCATCTTGTTTGCAATTATTTTCTTCTCTCATTCCCCATTTTTATATTTTGCATACAGTCAGCCTTTAGGACAAAGGCAAAGGAGTTTCACCCAGATCAGAATCAGGATAACAAAGGTGGGAATTTATGGATTTTAAATTAATCCATAATTGATCGGGGTGAGTGATCCCTTCTTGTATTTTGTTCTGCAGATTTTGCAGAAGCAAAATTCAAGGAAGTTATGACTTCTTACGAAGCTATCAAGTCAGAAAGGAAGAATAATAGGCATTGACACTGTATTATCCAGGTTCTATCGTCTTATCTATATGATGCCATATTCTTAAACAAGTAATTTATAGTTTTGGTGCTGTACTTGGTCGAGAATCTGGATTAAGATTTTCCATTAAAGTAAGCTGCTGGTGCTAGTGTATCTATAATTTATATGGCTTGCCTGCAAGTTTTGTAACCGATCATGCATCAATAAGTAAATATTTACGTTTTAGCTAGTTTTCATAATTTACAGACACAAACCTTCCTGATATTATGTGATAAGGAGGCCCAAGTCAGGGGAGAGGGACAAGAAAAGTAGAGATTGATGGAAACAATGAATTTAGAATTTGTTGATTTAATAATTTTGAAATTACAATAAAGTTTGAAACTTGAAATTGAAAATTACAATTGAAAATATTTTTAAAGAAAGCTTTAAAAATTGCAAGGATAATTTAAAAATTTCTTGAAGTGTATTATCTCTTCGCTTTCTTCCACTTGCTGAGCTTCTATCTTGAGTCTTCTTTTATACTTGAAATCTTGAGCATGGATTTGAAACTAATTTAATTTTGAAGAAGGTATCTTGAAAAGCAATCAACGATTTGTGAAAAGACAACCACTTGTTTTTGTCTTTCAAACATTTGAAAATTGCTCCTTATCTTTAGACAATAGCGCACTATCTTTTGACAATTGATACGCGCATTTTGATACTGACATCTTTTGACAATTGTATCACTTCTCCTGGCTTTTTAAATTTTACTTTAGTAAAGATGCTAAAATTTTGTATATTTTTGATAATGGGTGAGGGGAGTAATAATAGCGTATTTGGTGGCGTACACATTTTGAAAAGGACATCTTTTGATTTCTGAACTCCAAATATTCTTAGTTCATTGAGATAATTGGGTCCATATAATTATTTTGAATGAGAATCTTCGTTGCTTTGTTCAAAATCTGATGAATTGGCTTGGGAAGAATTTTCTTTTGAATCTGATTTCTTTGATGAAGATTCTGCAAGTGCAGCAATTCTTTCTGAAATAACTTGCAATTCTTCAGGAGTTTTGCATTGGCTTAGCATAGCCAATAATCTTGATTTTTTTGTGAGAAAATCGACACTTTTGTCAAGTTCCTTTCTAGATAATTTTGGAATGCTTGCATTTCTCTGTTTTTGAATCCATGAATTCACTGCTTTTGGCCAGCAATTTGTCTCATGAAATTTTGGCCACTATTTAATTTTGAGTATCCGAATAACCTTTTTGACATGGTATTCAAATCCTGGCTTTTGAACAATTTGATAGTACCAGCAGAATGTCTATGAGACCTTTAAATTGTGAGCAAATTGAAATAAAAGATTTTCTTGAGGCTTAAAAAAGGTTTTTGCTCTTTTTTGAAGTGTTCGAATCCTTGAAAAGACTGAACAAAATATTTTCTTTGAGTCCAAAACATTCAAACGATTTTTGAAACCATTTTGAAAAATTTGTAAATAATTTTGATGAAAAAGTATAAACCAAGAATTGGTAACTGGTCTAAAATAAAATAAAAAATTAAACCAGGCTTCTTGGTAATCAAAATAATTGAAAAGAGATTTGAATGAATCGTCTTTTGAGAGATGCGTTCCCTTCTCTTTCCATGGGTCATGTCCATAATCTTCGAATGACAGTACCTTTTTAATTGAAATTTTAGAAAAATCAATATAATTTTTCTTTTGCTGATTTGGTGTATGAGTTATTATGGCTGATCCAGATTTGATAAGAATAGCCTCATAATAATCTCTGGATTTTTTTTGATGATTTTTGGAAAATATTGAAAATTTGGAAGGGAAAATATTTTGAAGGCATTCTTTAAGAGATGAGGACCTACGAATTCAAGATGTTTACATCTTGAACACAAGAATATGGACGGGTTTGGTAAAATATTGAAAAGATGAAGGAGGATTAATATATGGTATTTTTCATATCCTATATGGAGGGCTTTTTTGAAATTTGAAGGATGCTCAGGGATTTTCTAAATTTGAGAAGACGAACTTTTTGAAGTTAAAGTAGTTTTTTAAGAGGCAGATGAGCTATGTTCAGCAATTTTGGAACCTTTGAATGAGTTTTGAATATAATCATCTATTGAACAAATAGGAATTTGAATATTTTTCTCATCTTTTTTCTTTGAAGAAGAAGATTCCATATTCTCTTCTTTAAATATTTCACTCAATTTGAATATCTCTCGAATTTTTCTCACAATTTCCTTTCCTTTGTAAAAACTCTCCGATGAGGTAGTTTGCAAGAAAATTTGAAGATTCTTGTATATATGGGATTTCAAAATCAAAACATCACAAAATAGTTTGCCATCTAGCAAAAATTTGTTTGGAAACAAGATTTTTGACATCTTTTTGTAAAACATCTTTGGATGCTTTGCAATCTGATTTTAAAATAAATTTTTTTATTGATTAAATCGTCTTGAAATTTTGAAATGCATAGAACAATTGATAAAACTTCTTTTTTTGATAGTAGAATAATTCTTTTGAGAGCCAATCCAAACTCCATAATGAAATCAAACTAACTGTTCTGGACTATGTATTGATAAACATAGAATGCTTTTAGTAGTTCTTTTGACATTTTGGACAACTATAGTATGCTTGTGACTCCATGAGACTTGATTCTTTTGTAATCTTTTGAAAATAGGTGCACATAGGATTCTTATCTCTTTGATAAAGTCACCTACATAATTGACACAACCAAAAAAAATTTGAAGACTATTATTATCTAGTATTTCATTAGGAAATTTGTGTGTAAAATCTAGACTTCTTTAAATTGGTGTAATAGTTCCTAGATGGATGTTATATCCTAAGAACCTAATACGTTTTTAACTTAAAACAATCTTTTTAGCAGAATCTGCTAAACCATTAATTTTTACTACATGAATGAATGTGTTTAAATGTTTGGAATGCTGTTCTAAACTTTCAAAAAAAATTAGAACATCATCAATATAAACAATAATAAAGTTTGAATAAGAATTGAAAATTTCATTCATAATTTTTTTGAAATTCAGAAGGAGCATTTTTGAGATGGAATGACATAACATTCCATTTGTATTGTCCAAAAGGTACATAAGCGGTTTTATAACGATCTTTTTCTTTAATTTGAATATGCCAGAACTCTAATTTCATATCAAATTTAGAAAAGATCAAAGCTTTGAGTAACATATTTAATAAGTCTTTCTTTTGAGGTAACGGATATCTTATCCATTGAAGAGCTTTGTTGAGGGGTTTATAATTGATAACTAGACGAGAGACTCTTTGTTCAATTTCAGCCGAATTGTTAACATAAAATTTTGAACAACTCTATGGTGATTTACTTGGACGGATAAGTTTCTTATCTAGTGATCAAGTAATTTTTTATTCATTTGAATATGATGAGATTTTGTTGGAATATTTGATTCATGGAAATCATGAGTATATGGTAAGGACACCATATGCTTTTTCCTATTCTGAAAAGCATTAGGAATAGTGGAGTATATTTCGTCCTCAATATGTTTTTGGAAAAGAGATATTTGCTTTTGAAAAGAGAAATTTTTTAATCGTTCCTCAATTCTTTGCAATCTTATCTTTTCTTTTAAAAATTGAATATGTTTTTTCTTAAAATTAATATTGTTTATAATTTTTGAAATAGAATTTTCTTTCAAAAAATTAACATCTTTGTAAGAAGGAGAATTTGTAAATTTAAAAATAATTTCTTGGCAAAAAATATTTGTAGGTAATCCTTTTGAATCAGTTTGAAAATGATAGAATTGAATAATAAAAGGGTTGCCAAGAATTACTTATTGGTCTAAATCTTTAATAAGATAAAATATATTTTTAAAACAAACATTTTAATTGCAAACATGAGCTTTTAACAGTTTATATTGAATATTCAATCTTTTCCCACTAGCACCATAAAGACGTTCAATGGTTTTATCAAAATATTTTCAGCAAGTGATATTAGAGGTTTTTGGAAACCTTTTATTTGAAAATCGTTTTTAGAATAATTTTTTGAATAAGAAGGTTTTTGAAAATCTTCTTTCTCTTGAAAATATTTTCTTCTTTTGTGGGAAGGAAAGTTTTTTCTTTTTGCTTTCGAAGGAGGAATTATTTTCTCGATACCATATTGTTCACAGAATGATCCGGGCTCTTTACGATTTTCAGATATTTCTGACTTTAATTTGGTTTTGAGTTTTAGATCATTGCAAAGTGTAAGACCTTCTTTATTGACAAAATGAATGATTTCTCCATATATAAGTTCATCATATAGAGTATTTTCTTGATTTTGGCTTTGTATAGAAGTTTTAACTCTTTCTGCAAAGAGTTTAGGAAGTCCAGATATAAATCTTTTTTTCCAATAAAATTGTTGACAATCTTCTTGGAGAAAGACACATGATAAAAACATGTCTTTATATCGTCGAAAATCATGAAGTTTTGAACATCTAAGATTCATAAGAATTTCGGACTGTCGATTCATTACATCGACAGGTACTTCGATAAAATGTTTGATAATACGATAAATAAGAGTATTGAAACTGTCATTTTCTCCAGTTTCATCATTTTGAGAGTTCATTATCTTTTGCTTTTCATTGTTGTTGAGATAATTTTCCCACCAATTTTTAAGTTGACCTGTAAATCCTAATAATAGATTTATGGTAGCAGTTTTGACTCAACATTTGTTGATCTATATTTTTTTCAACACATAGCCATAATATCAATTTTTCGAACAATTTGATATTTTGTTAGGCTGTCAATATTTCATTCGACCACAGATTTTCCATCAAAAGTCATAGAAGGTGGTTTTTTTTCTTCAAAAAGCAAATCGGGAGCAGTATTTTTAGGATAATTTTGAGGAACTTTTGAATATGAATCTTTTAATTTATTAATATGAAAAATTTCACTTTCATTTTCAATAAATTGAGATTCAATTTCATCAATCGTGTTGATGTTTTTTGAAGGAGAAGGAGATAATAATTTATATATTTGAGTTATAAGTTCTTTTAAAACTTGAGTCTCATTAT